TTCTTCATGACAAAAATTGCGAGCGCTGCACTGTATCGACGTACCTCCAAGCTTCTAGTTGTCCTGCACTGTCGTCGGACGAGTGGGTGCGGAGGAGGACGGCGGGGGAGTGTTGGGAGACGGAGAGGGGTTCTCCGGAGGCGAAGGTGACGTGGGCGGAGCCGGTGATGCGGAGGGAGCGGCAGTAGTCGGAGTGGGCGGCGGCGAGGTGGTGGCGGGCGAAGACGGCTTCCTTCATGAGGTGGCGCCGCTCCTTGCACCGCCGCACTGTGTCCTCGTTGTCCAGCTTCGACGCCGTGCAACCCATTTTAAGAATTAATTAAAAAAAAAGATGGTCGGCGCGGCGGAGGAGGAGGTTGTGGTGGAGATTAAAGAAAAGAGTGGTGGTGGTGGCGGAGGAAGGAAGACATTGGGACGGTAGTTGAATCAATGTGGGATTTTGGTCTGTTTTCTCACACAGTTACACACACTCACTCACTTCACTTTACTCTTTCTTCCACTACTTAAAGTTAAAATGAAAATTCATTTTTTTTTATTCTGATTTACTTTTATAAATGGCGTCTTTGTTTTTATTATACTGTCTTAATTTAATTTAATATTCACTGAATTTAGATACGATCTGATTTTCAATTTGTGTCACCCTATTATTTTTTTCTCATCTTCCCACTGTTTCTTTTTTTTTTTAAGTAATTATAAATTTAGTTTTAGTGAAATCAAGCCTGCTAATTAAATAACTTTTGAAAGCTTTTCTCAATATGAATTTAGTTAAGTGTGTGATTTAGAAATGGGAAGAAAAGTTCAATTGGAAAAAATAAAAAATAAAAAATAAAAAATCATCAAAAAATAATGTACAGAAATTATGGTGTCTAAAGCTTGGATTTAACGAAAGTTTTAAATGTAAAGGAACAATCCATAGAATATGAAGTTGGCGGGAAAAAGTTAAAAGTTCAAACAGTAAATATAATTTTTTTTTATTTAAATATAATTTCTTTTTGGTGGGTGGCCTTTTGTAAATTTTTTTTGTTTCGTAAATATTAATTTATTTATTTTACTTTTTTTAGTTTTAATGGAGGTAAAAAGGAATTATCACTTGTTTTCATTAAAAAAAAAAATTTACTCGTTATAAGTCTATAGCAACGAGGCTCGATAGAAACCTGAAACCCCAATAAAATACATGAACCGAGTTTGAGCCTATATTAATGAGGCCCGAGAGTTTCGGTCTATTGTAACAAGTCCCGATGGTATGCGAAACTGAGCCAACCAAACTCAGCTTACATGGCCAGATTGTTAACGATAATTATTAGTGTTAGTATTTATATTAATATTAGTATGACTATTAGTATGTACCGAAACAAACTAAAGTAGGTCGTTTACCCTCATAAGTCATAACATTTATATTTAAAATTAAAATACTTGAATTAAAAAAAAATATTCGAGCATCTAGAATTTCACTTTTTTTTTTCTTTTTGGTTCATATTCTTTCTTGTTCGACTCGAATTGTTACTATTTTGCCCCTCTTTAAGCAGAAACCAAAAGAATATATTCTTGAAAAGTATCCCATCAAATTCTCTTCATTTCTTTCTTCTTATATATTCATCAATAAATAAGAATTCAAATATACAAAACAATAAACCCCTAAAAAGTGGTGTCGGGTGAATTCCTTTTTATAGGACACAAAGTAATTAAAGGCAAGATGGGGGTGGTGAAAGTAAAAAGGTTTAATTTTTTTTAAAGAATTTCTTTTCTACTTTTGTTGACTATATATATTATATATGATGGCAAATAGTGAAATCCGCGATAAAAACTAGGGCAAATTACGACTACCATCTCAGGTAACGATAAATTACAAAAAAAACCTTCGTGTTTGGATAATTACAACATCCCCTTAATTTTATATTGTCTTACACATTCACCCTTACATTTTACATACTAAATGAGGTATTTTTTCGTAAGAAAATAGATAGTTGAAGGGGGTAGTTGTAATTTCCAAACATAAGTATTTTATTTACATAATTCGATATTACCTAAGAGTGTTGCCGTAATTTGTCCTTAAAAACTAATGCAAGTAATTACTAAAACTAAAAAGTATGATTTTATCCTTAAAATACTTTAGGATATGGTTATTATTAAATTAAGGATGCTATCAAATGCCAATATTTTTTTTAATACTAGAACCTAATACAAGAAATCGAGCATCTTACTAATCGAATTAAATTCGTGATTTGTAGAGAACTAAACCCTTTTTGTTTTTTAATGATAAACGAATAAAACTTCTACCAAGCTTCGAAATTCGTTATTTTTAAAATTTGTGTTTAAAAAAAAAAAAAAAAAAACAGATGATCACTTTCTTACATTGTGCCTGGAGATATAATAATGCCCAAATTCAGCTTCTTATCCCACACTAGAGCTTAGTACAACTTCGTACCATTTCTTCTATCCATTAAACATTAAGACTAATATATATATATATATATATATATATATATATATATATATATATAACCACCAAATCCACAGTAGTTAGAGTCTAGGTTGTTTTAAAACCAGAAAGTGCATGCAGTGAAGGGGGCCAAGATTTTCTGATAAAAAAGCTGCAACAAATTCTTGAAATATATTAATTTAATTATAATTTAATTTTATTTATTTCCCAAAACTTAGGGGAATGCTAAATACTAGCATTTAAATAGAGGTCAAATATAGTAGAAAGAAAGAACTATACTAGGGCTTGTGGAAAATGACACAGGCTGCAATCCATACAAAATTATCCCACTATTTTATTTTATTTTAATTATTTATTTATTTTTATTTACTTTTTTCTACCTAAAAAGATGAACTTTGCTCTAGCCCCCACCTCAAAAAATTAAAATTCTTTTGTGGCCATTAATTTATTCCCAACACCCAATTGGTGCAACCACCACTTTTTGAAAAAATGGCCCTAGGTTCAACTTCAATCACCTCATACTTTTTTTTTTATTTTATTTGCAAATTTCCCCCAACAAATTATCAAATTGCATTTCTAGCCCCTCACACTTAAAAGTTCAAGTTTATTTGAACTTTTATAGATGTCTTTGAACTCAATTTGATAAGCAAACGGGATTGAGTTCGATTTCGAGCCGAGCTTCGGTTTATCGAACGAAAATATGTGTTCGAGCTTGATTTGTTATGTTAAAAAAATCGATCTTGGACACTTTTTTTAACGAACGGTCTCGAATCGAGTATCGAGTAGCTTGGTTTGATTCTCAACCTTGTTCGTCACATAAACATCCAAAATTGAAAAACAAAAATCGAATCAAAATCAGAATCGGCATAAGTCAGAAATTTTGTTCCGATTTCTACAACTATAATTCTTATGGATGAAACTATATATTATAGATAGATGGTGTACTCCACATTAGACACGGCCCCGGGTCGGGTCGGGTCCGGGTCCGGGTCGGACCCGCCGGGTCCGGGTCCTACTTTTTCGGGACCCGAAACCGACCCGCATGGGTCCGGGTCCGGGTCCGGGTCGGGTCCACTCGGGTCCGTCCGGGTCCGGGCCGGGTCCGGGTCCAAACCGGTTCTTGAATTTTTTAATTGAATTTCCGGGTCGGGTCCGGTTCGGGTCCGGGTCGGGTCCGGGTGGACCCGAGTTTATAGCCGTTGAAATTAAAAAAAAAAAAAAAATTTGAAATTTTCGGGTCGGGTCCGGTTCGGGTCCGGTTCGGTTCCGGGTCGGGTCCGGGTGGACCCGAGTTTATAGCCGTTGTAATTTAAAAAAAAAAAAAAAATTTGAATTCCCGGACCGGGTCCGGGGCGGGTCCGGTTCGGGTCCGGTTTATAGCCGGTGCATTTTTAAAATTTTGAAAAAAAAATATTTTTTTATTCGGGTGGACCCGACGGGTCCTCGGGTCCACCCGCCGGGTGGACCCGTCGGGTCTCGGGTCCTAAATATCGGGACCCGAAACCGACCCATACATTTTCGGGTCCGGGTCCGGGTCCATGGTCAACGGGGCGGGGCCGGGGCGGGGCGGGGCGGTCGCCGGGTCGGGTCCGGGTCCGACCCGGCCCGTGGCCATGTCTACTCCACATGTAGGTGATGATGAAGCAATAAATAACCTCTATCTACCAATCAAGTGGTGTTGAGATCCAACTCAACATAAATAGGAACAAAAGGGAAATAAAAGTAAAGTGAAAAAAAAAAATCATTATTTATTTATTTATTTAATTTTTCCTAGAAAGACCAATAAATGTGACACAAAATTGGTGTATAAAGGGTCCCTACCACGTTTGTATTTGTCAAACCAGCTAGCATTAAGAAAGGGGATCTTCTCACTATATAGCTGTTTAATATAAGCTTAACCAAACACCCTCTAAGAGTGGGCAAAAATGTAATTTAACGAAGAAATGAAATAATTTCATTTTCCGTTCCATCCCCAAAATAGAAATACAATAAATCTAAAAATAGCCCCTTTCCTGAATTTCAAAACCCTAAAACGTTGATCAAACAAAACCCTAATTTTTCAATTCTCTGCCATTGTTGAACGGATAAAGAAAGATCATAATTCCATAATTTTTTCCCCAATTCGGTGGATTAGTAGCAATTTGGGAAGCTGAGAAATGGACATTGAGCAGAAGCAAGCGGAGCACATAGAGTATTTTGTGAAGCAGGCGTCGGATAACAAGGGCTCGGCGCTCTCGAGCATCATCGTTGAGGCAACTTCGCACCCTTCACTGTTTGCTTTCTCCGAGATTCTCTCTGTTCCGAACGTACTCGAGGTAACTACGCACGTTTTCCTGTTGTAATAATATCAATTTTTGTTTTTGTTTTTTATATTCATTTCGGTAGCGAAGAGTAGAATATGCGGTATTTGGTTTGGGTAGAAGGGTTTAGCCAGTGATACTTCTGGCATGCCCATTAATTTCTAGTGCTGGGGCTTAATTGACTTGCTTGATGGTTTCTGGTTTCGAAATATTTACTTCGATTTTTTTTATTTTTTTTCGATTTTATTGGGGGCAAATCTTAGACAGGTACGAGTGTCCCCTATAAGAGTTGAAACAGTTACGCCGAGGATTTCTTGTTCAATGTGAATGTAACTTTTCGTCTTTTTTAACTTGCTCGCGGGTTATATTAGCTGATTCGGTGTACCGTAGGTTGTGATTAGAATAGCACCTGATTCCGTGTTTTCGTTGCCTGATGTTTTAGATTATATTTGATATGAAATGCTTTTTGAAGCCTTCTCTAACTCTTCTTTCAGAAGCACATTCAGTAGAACGGTAATATGATAACCATTGTGTTCATATATGCAAGTCTGGGATTAACTTGCGAATTTTATGTGTTATAAGTTAAAACCAAATAACTCTATTCTGGCAGTTTTTGAATTTACTGAAGATTGTAGCAATTGTATAGTCGAGTCTGAAATAATGAAATAGAAGGGGTACCGCTGTTAGCTTCTTACAAATGGGGATCTGTTGGAAGATAATGAAGCCAATCCTTCTTGATCTGTAGATAATATTTGATAAATATGTGATACGAATCTTTGGTTTGCTGTAACAAGGATCATGTGTCATATTATCCTAAAGAGTGTATTGGAAAAAAAATGCGTTGAAAGAAAATAACACTGGAAATTTGACTGATATATTGGTAAAATTTTACTTATTACAATCTTTGAGTCGATGTCCTAATACCAAATGACTTGGAAGTATTTAAGTTGAAAAAAAAATCACCGTGTTGCCAATGTGGTAAAATTTGAATAGTTTCTGTTGTTTCCAATTTATTGATTTATTTTCATTTTTCTTGATCTATGCAACTGTGTGCAGCTTGCAGGAACCGAGAACAGTGCCTTCCTTGATTTGCTTCGCATGTTTGCTCATGGTACCTGGAGTGAATATAAGAGTACGTTAATGATCGTCTTCTCTTATCTATTCATCTTCTGTTGTTTGCTGCCATGAAAAATGTTTGATTGTTATAGTGACTCGTTCTAATTAAAAGCTCAATTTTCTTTTCTTTTCCAATAAGAGGATAATGAGTTTTATAGAGCAGCCAAATTCTCTTTTGTGCCCAGAAGTGTTAGTTTTTTAATGCTTGCTCATGACCTTGAAAATATAAAGGAAATGAAATTTGCTTTCTAGGTGTTAGATACTTTACTGGCATTTAGGAGCTTTCATGTTATTGCTCTTAAATTGTGTCATCAATCATCATAAAATATTTTTTTTACATTTCCATGCTGTTCTGAAACAAAGCGGAGAAGAAATTATCTTGCCATTATTATATCTGAAGCCTCTCAGCTTTTATTGGTAGTTATTTTCGTTTTCGGCGTGATCTTGCTCTAAATAGATCATGGTTGGTGGATCACTGTTCGTAGATAAGGAGTTTTTTTCCCCTTCCATGTTTTCTCAGAACCTGCAAAAGGTTTTTGTAAATGATTGATGATGTCATGGATTCATTCAAATACTTAATTAGTGTCACACGTGTTTCTCGAGGTTAAGTTTCTCCATCAAATCTGTTATATCCATACTTGTCAATGCAGATTTTTTGTTCCATAAAATTCTATTTTCAGAGTCCAACGAGTCATCCTTGAGTAATCTTAACGTAAGAATTTTATCAACAAAGAGACAAATATTGTATTTTGTGCAAATAATCTGTTGACATGGAATCACAAAGCAGCCACCTGCAGCTTGAGTTAGGTATAAACCCAATCAGGTAACATTGAAATTCATCATGAAACTGGAGGTGGTCTCTTTGTGGTGTCTTGGTTAGGTAAACATAGAGGACTAATGGAAGATGTTTTGAAGATGGAAATGAAGTTTACTCAAATATATCCTGGTATTTCTTGAAAACATTTGTGTTTTATGTTGTGATACAGGTAATGCTAGCCGTCTTCCACAAATTGTTCCTGATCAAGTTCTGAAATTGAAGCAGCTGACTGTACTTACTCTTGCTGAGACAGACAAGGTAGTTCTCCATGTATTTGTTTCCTGTGTTTGTATGTCTGTATCCAAACACATGATGCGCCCATTTTAACTTTTCATGTTCATTCATGGTTCATTTATTGCCATTTAACTGGAATGTTTTTATGGTCAAATTTGGAACAAGTAAAATGGTTTGACATCTCCGCTTAAAAATATTCTTGTGAATTTGTCTATTGAAATTTACAAATGGTCTTACAGTTAAAAACAATTGCTGCATGAATATTATAAAATATTTCAAGTATACCTTTTGTGCCTAAGTTAACTGCATTTACTGATGGACCTGACGAGCTACACTATCTGCTTCTGTTTTCTGGTCTATTCTTTCGCTCCTTTTCTTTGTTGTCAGTATCAACGCATACCAACCAGGTTCATGTTTAATTTTTTTTTTAATCCATTTACTATTTCCTACTCACTCCGTATTCTGCGTAGTTTTTCAAATGTACTCAATGACAGAATAAAATATATACGTGGAAACTGTTGAAATCCCTCCTGTATAATTTCTTTTTGTTTGTTAAGTCTTTCATTTGCTTTTCAAATTTTTGTATTTTATTTTCTGTATTTTTTAATAATATATATAACATGAGCTATTGGAGGTTTTTCTTCAAGTTTCTCTCTACTCAGAATCCTTGGATCTCTTAAGTGTTTCTCTCCTATGTCCAGGTATTGCCCTATGATACATTGATGCAGGAGTTGGATGTTCAGAATGTTCGTGAGCTGGAAGATTTTCTCATTAATGATTGCATGTATGTGGTAAGTCTCTGCTTCTCTTTCCTGCCCAATAACTTCTTGGTTAACACACCTAAAGTCACTCTACCCATTAAGTGTGAGGAGATAACATAATAGCTTTGCATGGTTGGCCCGTATTAATTTGGTGTCCCTTTTTAAAATCTTCTTTTTCTTTCTTTTGCCTTTTTACGAATGGCCTATAATATTGATTATAAGGTTGACAGAGACAGTCTTTTTGAGGAAATACCAATTTGCAATTATCAATGCTTTAATTTGTTGCTGCTGTTCTTCGACAGGGGATAGTCAGAGGAAAGCTCGATCAGTTGCGAAGATGCTTTGAGGTCTTACTTAGTGTTTAACTTGTTTAATTTTCTGGTTACTTAGTTGCTTGTCCGACTTGTCATTAGGTTGGAAAAATAACTGTCAAGTGAACTTGTAGGTGCAATTTGCGGCAGGGAGGGATCTTAGACCTGCCCAATTGGGCAGTATGATTCAAACGCTAGCCAGTTGGTAAATATTTCTTGCCCAAGGAAATTCATTACTACTTAATTTACATTTCAAACTGGGTTCTTGATTTAAGTTTCTTAATATCTAGGGATAAATACGTTGATATTTTCTTTAATGGTTTTCTTTCTCTGCGTGTTAGACTGCTATCAAAGGTTAATAAGAAATTCAACCAAAAAAAGAGTACCGACATCAAGTTGTAAAAAATTGTTTTATTGTAGATTCAAAGTGTAAAAACTTTGACTAAGCGGAAGGCACTTAAAGTAATCCTGTGATCACAAATTGTTATAGACTTGATGATACAGTATTGCATAATGCTTGTTTGTTTTATTTCCTTTCCTTCCCTTCATTTTCCTTCCTGTGTTCGACTTATGTCTTGTACCGAAATTTAGTTTTTGGTTTTCCACTATTTCATAGGCTATTAACTTCAGAAGATCTTCTTGTTTCAATTCAAGACAAGATCAAATGGGCAGATTCAATGAGTGAGATAGACAAGAAGCACAAAAAGGAAGTTGATGAAAGGGTCGAAGAAGTAAAGAAAACACTATCTTTGAAGGTCAGTTAAGTGAACTTTCTTACAGTGTGCTCTGTTTCATGTATCGTTGTTGTCATTACTTGCGATTCCATCTGTCACTGGTTACGTTACATATGCTGATATGCTCTTATATAATGTTTGAATGCTAATGGAATCTCTGGAAATATGCCATCGGAAGTCTCTATTCAGTTCCACCTAAGTTCTTTGAAAAGACCAAATATTTGTATCTGTAATAATATAAACTTTATTGTCTGGAATAATATGTTATCTGTTAGAAGAGCGAGTTTGTTGTACTATATATCTAGATGTGTTGGTCGATGTGTCTTACGTTGTGGCAGAAGTTACCAATTGTAAGCAGGCCGACATTGATTTCCGAGGGCATGAGGAGATCTATTCTGAACATGGTGGAGTAATGGACTTTGAGGAAGACCGAAGCCGCCCTAAGAGGTATCATTCGAAATGCCTATAACTTCATCTTTAGACTTCTGCTGAAATTTCGACCTCTATAATTTGGTTCTCAACTCGAAAAGTGGATTTTTTGAAGTTTACTATAAGTGATTTTTGCTATCTATATCTACTTCACTAAATAATGAAATTATTACTACTTTTAAGATTCATTGATTTTGATGCTTTGACTTGAATAATGTGCAGGAGACGACATCCCGTAGGTTGAGGAGATGAAATTAAGAGGATATTCTAGGGGTATATTGGTCAGATAACTTGCCATTTTTTTGGATCAATGGCATTGCATAATGCAAGACCACTCCTCCTGAATTTGGGGGCCCTCTCCATTGAATATGTCAACCAAATTTAGACTCAAGAAAATCGACGGCATTGATTAGCAAAAATATATAACCCGAGTAAAGAAAAAATCTTTTTCGATTTGGATAAGAAGCAGATGTAATATTTTTATCTAATATTGGTGGGACAATATTGCACCTATATTTTACCGAGCTTGTCGAAACAGTTTCCGTGCACCCTTTATCTTCCATTGTGCTGGATGTAAGTATGATTCCTTTATATCCTTCGTTTATTGGTTATTCTGACTTTGCCGTTAACGGTTTTGAGTTGTAATTATGTTTGGTTAACCGTGTGGTATGGTTTCGTGCGCCATTCTGTGGGGGCGTTTTAGAGTAAAAAGAACTTATCTGAAATCCGAATTTCATCGGGTTATATAGATTGATATGTGTGTGTGTGTGTGTGTGTGTGTGTATGTGTGTAGGTACTATATATATATTTGTATGTATGTGTGTGATTATGATATGTTTGATGAAAAGCTTTTCAATTATTATTGACATAAGTTTCTTGAATCACTTATCAACAAATATTATTACATTGTAAAGCAGACAGTTCATCTAAACATGGACGTGGTGCCATTTTATTAATCCTTCATTTGGTCCCCAATACACTCTTAATTAATCCTGTCAAAAAAAAAAAACAGTGTCAAAACTAATTATTACATGACTTAATTTAAATACAAAATAGAAAGAAAAATAAATAAAATTATGTTACTATTTATTACTCACGTGTCACAGTTGGAGGTGCGAGAAACAGGGATACCCAGTTGAACACCACATTTGGCGGGGAAGAGACTGAGGCTGCACGGTCGCTCAAGCCGGCAGAACGGCCAGCTGCCGCCTTGACGCAGCTGCATAGAGCCCTCTTATCGGCGGTGGTTTGAGCCAAGTCTTTCACCGCCCTCACTCCGGCGCAGCACGACGGTGACGGGCTATCTCCGCCCTGTCCCATCAGGTAACCGATGCATGGAATCAAAGCTGCGTCAACCTGACCGCAGTTCACCGCCGCCTGCCCGTGCTGCACCACTAGTGCAATCACTACAGCCACAAGTGCAAATAATGCTACTGCACTAACCTTCATCTTGTTTTTTCCGCGTGTTCGTGTTTTTTTTTTTAACGTGTGTGTGTGTGTGTGTGTGTGTGTGTGTGTGTGTGTGTGTGTGTGTTTGGTGTTGGTATTGTTGTGAGGATGGAGGTATTTATAGGGTTTTGGTAGTGTGGAAAATGAGTATTTTCAGCAGTTTTCATTGTCTTTTTGGTTTCTTTTTTAATGTCTTAGAATAGCAAATTTTTATCTCTTATCACATTTTTTATGCTCCATTTCACTTTGTAATATTCTCTTTGCTTCCTCTTTAATTTGCATGTGTTTCAAGCTTTTTCACTTTTGTTAAGAGTTAAATAACTCGAGTTCGAATACCTTTGTCAGTATTTTTAATAGATCAAACTTGTAACACATAAATATATATTTTCAGTGTAGTTTACATATCTCATGCGATTTGCCACAAGAGAGTAAACGTGTACAACTATGTTACGCATTAAAAACCATTTATATATTTATATTGATATATAGTTTTGGTCTGGAATCGGCAAAATTCGAAAAAAAAAACTTCATTGTCTTATTGTTTATAATAAATGATAAACAATAATATTGATACTATTTTTCTCAAAAAATATATATATTGATATTATAAGTGTATTTATTGTTTTGAAAAGAAAATTGAATTTTTAAAATTTAAAAAACGTACGGGAAATTGGAATAAAGTAATTCGTATAGCTATCAAGTATGGGCTTTTATTTATTTGGGAGATTCAACTGGGCCGGGCCATCAACTAAATCTGTGGCCCGTATCCTTTAATCTGGGACTGCTTAGGTGGGACCACGAAATTTAATTTCAACAAACAAATAAAAAACAAAAACGAAAATTGAAACGTCGATTAAAATAACTGAAATGCTAAATCCCACACTATTTTTATCAAATTACGCATATAATTAAAAATATTTATCTCTCTAAAATCTTCTCTTCTTCTTTCTATTCTTCTTTCTATTCTTCTTCTTTTTCCATAACTTTTTCCCAAAATCACACAATAAAAACATTCCAAGTTCGAATTTGACAAAAATCTTCACATGTTCAAACTAAAATAAAGTTGGAATTTGAGGGAGAAAATCGAATTCATATGAATTTGAATAATTAAAAATGCTTAATGTAATTGAATAAATATTAAATAAAACGGAACTCATTTTTTATGATTATTCACGTACAAAAATAATGAATTTTGAGTGACTTGGATAAAATCATTTTAGATAGAAGTTTGAGAAAATTTGAGCAGAGAGAGAACGTCTTTTTAAATTATATATGTGATTTAGTAAATTTTAGTGTAGGATTTAGCACTCCCCTTAAAATAATTCCTAATTAATTATTCCCATGAAGAGGGAAATTCTGGAAGGATCTAGAAACCCTAGACAATAATAATACAGCTCTATAAAACCCCCTCTTGGCGTTTACATTTCGTCACGTACTTTCTGTATACTGCTCGCAATTTAATTTTCATCGGAAAAGTAGAAAAATCTCGTCGGTGAAGATCGTCGGCAATGGCGGACACGGAGACGTTTGCTTTTCAGGCGGAGATCAACCAGCTTTTGAGTCTGATCATCAACACTTTCTACAGCAACAAGGAGATTTTTCTCCGTGAATTAATCAGTAACTCCTCCGATGTAAAAGCCTCTTTTCTCTCTCTCAATTTTTTTATCTATTATCATTTATTTGTCTAATTATTGTACGATCGTGTTGCTCGTGTGTTCGATTCATGCATTTGTCACTTGTAATTTGTATAATTTTTTTTTTTTTCAATTTTGGTATTGTGTGTTTTATTTGTGAAAATGCTGTTTGTGTTAATTTATTACGATTAGGTATCTGAATTTGTAGTTTTACGATAGTTGATCTTCTCTTTGTTAATCTTCATCTGAACGTTGGTTGAATGATTCATATAGTCGAATTGTATTTGTTAGTCTTCTCTTTTGTGTAACTATGCAGATTTGTTATGTTTGTTAAATCTTCTCATAGGAGGATTTTGGAATTCATTCCTTTATTTATTCTGGCATTGTGTTTGGATTGATATAGTATTGTTTTTTTAAATATATATATATATAAGCGCTAATTACGTTCTTCTGGAATTGGAATGATTCATAAAGGCATTGGACAAGATCCGTTTCGAAAGCTTGACAGACAAGGCGAAGCTCGATTCTCAACCGGAACTCTTCATCCACATTATCCCCGACAAGACCAACAACACACTCACCATTATCGACAGTGGAATCGGAATGACAAAGGCTGGTTAGTACAAATCTCTATATCGATCTCCTCTTTCGAATCGTTGCCAAAATCTAGCTTTCTAACATGTTTCTTGTCTCGATTTCAGATTTGGTCAACAACCTCGGCACAATCGCCAGGTCAGGAACCAAGGAATTCATGGAAGCTCTATCAGCTGGTGCTGACGTCAGCATGATTGGACAGTTCGGAGTTGGTTTCTATTCTGCCTATTTGGCTGCCGAAAAGGTCATCGTCACCACAAAGCATAACGATGATGAACAGTATGTTTGGGAGTCACAGGCTGGCGGTTCGTTCACAGTTACCAGAGATACATCAGACGAAACCTTAGGCAGGGGTAGCAAGATTACTTTGTACCTCAAAGAGGACCAGCTTGAGTACTTGGAGGAGCGTAGGCTTAAAGATTTGATCAAGAAGCACTCTGAGTTTATTAGCTACCCAATCTCTATGTGGGTCGAGAAAACCAACGAAAAGGTTATTTCAGACGACGAGGATGAAGAAGAGGATAAGAAGGATGAGGAAGGAAAGGTTGAGGAAGTAGACGAAGAGCAAGAGAAATCCGAGAAGAAAAAGAAGAAGATTAAGGAAGTTTCGCACGAGTGGGAGTTGGTGAATAAACAGAAGCCTATATGGATGCGTAAGCCTGAAGAAATCACAAAGGAAGAGTACTCTGCTTTCTACAAGAGCCTGACCAATGACTGGGAGGATCATTTGGCAGTGAAGCACTTTTCGGTCGAGGGCCAGCTCGAGTTTAAAGCTGTCCTCTTTGTCCCAAAACGGGCCCCGTTCGACCTATTCGACAATAAGAAAAAGCCCAACAACATTAAGCTCTATGTTCGTCGTGTGTTCATCATGGATAACTGTGAGGATTTGATACCTGATTATCTTGGGTTCGTAAAGGGTATAGTGGACTCTGAGGATTTGCCTCTCAACATCTCGCGTGAGACGCTGCAGCAGAACAAAATCTTGAAGGTGATTCGCAAGAATCTGGTCAAGAAGTGCTTGGAGCTCTTCTTCGAGATTGCAGAAAATAAAGAGGACTACAACAAATTCTACGAGGCTTTCTCGAAGAATCTCAAGCTCGGCATACACGAAGATTCTCAGAACAAGACGAAAATCGCCGAACTTCTCAGGTACCACTCGACCAAGAGCGGCGACGAGTTGACCAGCTTGAAGGATTACGTGACTAGGATGAAGGAAAGCCAGAACGAAATCTATTACATCACCGGCGAAAGCAAGAAAGCAGTCGAAAATTCACCCTTTCTCGAGAGGTTGAAGAAGAAGGGGTATGAAGTACTATACATGGTCGATGCTATCGACGAATATGCAGTCGGTCAATTGAAGGAATTTGAAGGGAAGAAGCTAGTTTCTGCTACAAAGGAGGGTTTGAAGTTGGATGAAAGCGAAGACGAGAAGAAGAAGAAGGAAGAGTTGAAGCAGAAGTTCGAAGGTTTGTGTAAAGTGATCAAGGATGTGCTAGGAGATAAGGTCGAAAAGGTAATTGTGTCGGACCGTGTGGTGGATTCGCCGTGCTGTTTGGTTACAGGGGAGTACGGGTGGACGGCAAATATGGAGAGGATTATGAAGGCGCAGGCTTTGAAGGGTTCAAGCGCGGGCGGGTACATGGCGAGTAAGAAGACTATGGAGATTAATCCGGAGAATTCGATTATGGATGAATTGAGGAAGAGGGCTGATTCGGATAAAAACGACAAGTCGGTTAAGGATTTGGTTTTGTTGCTTTTCGAGACTGCTTTGCTTACATCGGGTTTCAGTTTGGAGGAGCCGAATACTTTTGGGAATCGGATTTTTAGGATGTTGAAGCTTGGGTTGAGTATTGATGATGATGAGGGCGGTGATGCTGACCTGGACATGCCGGAGTTGGAGGAGGTTGTGGCTGATGCTGACGGCAGCAAGATGGAGGAAGTTGATTAGATATTCATTTTGGTTTTCTGTTTTTCTTTTTTTTTTTTTTTTTTTTTTTAATTGCTTGTGCTGGTTTTAATGTTTTTGAATATTACTTGATTGTGACATGCATCTTTTTTTATAAATTCATTTAGTTGCCATGCAAAATATATATATTTTTTTTGTTTCTTTTTTAATTGTTTAATACAAAACATGTGCCAACTTGCAATTTTCTTTTTCGTCACAGTTAAAGTTGTGAATTTGTTCAAGCTTTGGTAGCTACCATCAACTTTTCCTCTTCTTCGCACAGCCGCTCATTATTCCGGTCAATGTAGACGGCTCCGGCGGCTGCCGTCGCTTACCGACTCTAGCCGGCTTCCTTGCAGCGCCCGAGGAGCCAATAAGGTGAGGGAAATTGAGCCTGGCTCGCGAGCCGCGCAGCTCGTAAGCCGCCTCGTCGTAAGCCAGCGCTGCATCCTCCGGCGTCTCGTACGTCCCCAGCCAAAGCCTCGCCCCCTTCTTCCCCGGATCCCTTATCTCCGCCGCAAACTTCCCCCACGGGCGCCGCCTCACGCCGCGGTAGCGCCTCCACTCCACCGGTTCTGCGTTTTCACCCCCTTCCGAGGTAAAATGTCGATTCGCCCCTACTTCCTCATAGCTCAATTGCTCCCAAAATGATGTGGTTAAGGTTGAATCAGGGTTAGGGTTGTAAAATTCATCTGGAAAATCAGAATCATTTAGGAGGTAACTTTGTATGGAATCAAGAAGAATGATATCAGAATTTGACATTGTTTCTGCCTGCATTTTATTTTTTTTCAAAATAATAAAATAAATTCCCAACAAATATTTATATTTGTTTCATTAATTGAGAAAATGAGATGACATCGCTTGTGTATATATACTGCTCGGAGTAGTATTATTAATATGACCCTAATTAATAATTTACTCCAAATTGGTTAATTAAAAATAAATAAATATTAAATAGTGGTTTCCTTGAAGATTCCTTGGTCCATATTTTGGATTGCTTAACACACGTGCAGATTTTCTTTATTTTATTTTACATAAAGTTAATTAATAAAGGTTTTCATCAGTCAGTCTAATATGAACATATATAATTAATTATATATGTATATAAGCTGTTAGTTAAAGACTACTAATTTATATATGATGATTAATTATTCAAATTGTGGCGAAGGGGAATGTTTAGTGTCAAATTGAAGAAATGGACATAGATTGTGTACTCAGTTTGTCATTTAGTTGGACCAAAAGGAATAATAAATAAATAATAGAGACCGAATATTTAGTTGCTACAAGGTTTGGGGGGCATTGGGCAATTAATAATGTATTAATTAATTTTGGGCTAAAATAAATTAAAATGCCAAATAGCCCACAGCTATTTGTCTCTGGATTCGACTGACGGGTTTTACCCGACCCGACCCGACCCATTCTCTCTCCTCTCTCTCTCTCTCTCTCTCTCTCTCCGGTTGTTGCCGGGCACACTGATGAGCGTTTGAGGTTAGTATTTCGAACCCTTATTATTTACATGATGCGTAATTTTTTTTATTTTTTTTAATGGTGTCTCGTTATTGTGATCACCAGCTGTTTGTTTGAATGTCTTGCTTAAAATAATTTGGGTTTTTGCTCATATTTTCTCTTAACGGGAAGTTTTTTATTGAATTGGGAGGCTGGTTTTTGCGGTGGGAATGATTAATTAATATATTCCATATTGTGTCTGTAATCTGTATACGTTGATGCTGATATTTCAATTTTCAACTCAATTGTGGTTCACTGTGGGCTTGTTCTTTCATCTTCGGTTTTTATTTCTCCTCTGATTTGAAATTGTGGAAATGTAAATTGTGTGTTTAATTAATGGATAATGATTTGCTCGGTATCGATATTTATTAATGATTCCCCAGTTTGAAGTTGTTGATTTTAGTTTCCAAATTCACAGTTTCGTGCCCCAAATGCCGTGTAGACGTGTCTAGTGTTCGTTGATCGCAAGAAATGTGGCGGGAAAAATATAGCTTGTCAAGAAAACTCTCATAAGATGTGGATTAATACTTAATAGAGAATATTTTATGTTGCTCGTTAGATAATTATTTTTTTTACGTTACATTGCAAAATACATCTTTCAGAAAATCATGGACCGTTGGAATGGAGTTTTGAAGATCCAGCTGCATCCAAATAGCAGCACGTTCTACAGAGTTGCAGCATCACTTGGCCTCTCGTCTCCCAAAAATCTTGCAGTAAGTATTACTAAAACGATTCAGAAGCTATCATTTATATTTCACACCTAAAAAAAATACTATATTTTACCTGGGATAGGTACCGTTTGGAAATGCAATATTATTCACCGGTGATCGTGTGGAAGGGACTGGAAATCCAGTGATCGAGAGGTTATCCGATCCGCAAACGATTGCCGAAATCTTAGTTTCAAAATTTGGGGGATCCGTTAATGCTTTTGTCGTTGAGGCATCGGAATTCAACGGTTCTTTTGCTGTTTATAAGGATTTTATCCCGACTGTGAATGAGTACGGAGAACCAAAGTCTTATGATGCAACTGGATTTCCAGCTTCTACATCACTTGTCCTGCTCTTGTCAAGGTTTCTTGCAGAGGTAGTTTTCTTAACTTTTGATGATGTCTCTCCCTGCAGATTACGTATTTGAATCTTGTCAAAAATATATAAGTGTTGTTCGAAAACATCCGCTAGATTTAAATTCCTGTTGTTGGCGGAAACTGTCCGGAAAGAACTGAGAAAACAGTTTCTTAGCTATAGATAACATCAAGATTTTTGGTACTCGAAATGAAAACAAAAAATGAACTCAAAATCAGACATATATGAATAGTTTTCTTCTTATTTCTTGCGTGTTTTGTTAATTATCTGAGAATATAATTATGCCACCGTACTACCACTTAGTACTAATCGCAAGTCTTAAGCATATGAAACAACATCGCCAACATTGGCTACAGATGCAGTTGATAATATGACAAATTTGTCGTATAATGGGTCCTACATGTACAAATTCGGAGATTAATCAATAATATCGATTTTCTTAAGACTAAAGTTGCTGCTGTTGCAGGCAAAAAACATCATTTTGGGGAAACAAAAAGAGGCGTACCTATATGAAGCTTCTCCATCATCATTCTCGTGCAAACCTAAAACAGCACTTCTCGGATTTAGTAAAGGCGGTACTGTACTCAATCAGCTCATAACCGAGTTTGCCTTTTCGGAAATCCAATCAACACAAATCCCGTCTCAATTAATCAAGAAAGAAGATGACTCGTTTATACCCACCTCAAAAGAGGGCCTCTTCGAAAGCATATCCGAAATTCACTATGTGGATGTGGGCTTAAATGTCGAAGGAGCTTATCTCACAGATAAAGATGCCATCGACAGAATATCTGCTAGAATCTCTCAAAGGGAATCTGGAATATTCCGGTTCCTCTTTCACGGAACGCCTAGGCAATGGCGTGACGAGAGGCGAATATGGATTCGTAAGGAAAAGGACACACTCGTTCGTCTTCTCAAGAAAACTGCTCACACGAATATGGGGAAATTACATCTATGTGAGAGATTGTACTTTCCACGTAAAAATCCTGATCTGCAGATGCATTTCGAAATAATCGATGTTATGGATGTTAGTTAATCGTAATAGTTAATAGTTTTCAATGCAAGTGTGTCATTTCTAATGTGGTGTTTGACGAGGTTTCTGTTTTGGTTCGATTGTTTGTCTGATGATAAACAACCGCATTCCCAGAATTGGCCGTGTATAAATAAATTTCAGGGTTTCCCTATTACCGTTTTGCATTGTCCTTTTTCGTCACTGGTTGAGTCGGGATTTTATCTTTACGTAGGGTTTAGTTATTGAAATTGCAAAATATACACATACCAACAAGGATGTGTGTGTTTTTGTGTGTGAATGAATGACAATAATATACTGCAGCTTTTCTGTAGAGTGAAGTGATAGCCAAGCCAAGAATCAGTGTATACATTATCTCTTGTGTTGGATTCCTTACTTGCAGTGATCACCTAAGAATTGCCATTAACATATATAATATATATGTTAATGGCAATTCTAATTACATCGTATCACAAAAATCTCGATATGGGTATGATGATGAGTTTCATGGGAAAAGGTCAGGAAATCTCTATTTGCTTATTCGATTTTTTTTAGTCCATTTTTTTTAAAGAAAATTGTTTTCTTGAAAACGGCAGGTTTGCCAACTGGGCAGATGCTGAGTTTGGTGATGGGAACACTCCACAGGCAGTTCATCGAAAAAGATATCAAAAGTTTCGAGGAATTTCACGTTGCCATTCTTGATATCTTCAAGTAATTGTTACTTGCATATATTTTTGTCACTATTTTTGCATCAAATATGATTTCCTCGATTTTGAATGTATGTATTTCCAGCACCGTCAATGCTGCGTTGCCTGGTAAACACTATGATGTACCTTCTCCAAAGGAAGTTCAGGTAAAAAAGAATTGATGTTGAATTTTTTTCTTTTTTCAAAAATGTTAATTTCGATCTGATTTGTTCGATTTTTATCCCTGACAGGCATGTTTCAACGATTGGAAGGAAGCCAACGAGGCGGAGAAGAAGAAGGTGTTCATCGAATTCATGAAGAAAAAAGTGAATCTAAGCAAATTGGATGATTCTACCCTCATAACCGGAATAGTAACACCGCCGGCGGCAATGGCGGCAAAGAGAGCCGGAGAGAGTGTTCCGCAGCTGAAGCTGATCAAAGCCATACCCGACGTCATTTTCATCCCAACCGCCACCATAATTGCTCTCGTCTCCGTCAAGTTATCGAGAAAGATGTTTCTTGCCAATGTGGCATCATAAGATTTAAAAAAAAAAAATTGCAAATTTTTTTTAAAGATGATTCTTTTGGAATGTGTATTGAATTCACAAGGAAAAAACATGTGTTGAAATTTGAGTTTATTTTTCAAATAAAACGACACCTTTAGAAAAAAAGGAAAAAAATCGAGTTTGTTGCATTTAGCACCACTGCACGCATATCGAATTGCTACAAAACTCCCCGTGTTATATATATTAGCGAAAAATGCATAACACGGAGAGTTTTTAGCAATTAGAGTAAACACTGGGGTGCTAAATGCAATAAAGCCCATTCAAATTTTACAAAAACATCGGCAAAACTTTTAATTTACCATGCTATATCATTTATATAAACACGATTTTTCAATTTCAACAAGCGTCAAATAATATATATCTTAAATAAAACCAAACAAATTCATCATCTACAAACTTAGCAAGAAAAAAAAAGGCAATGTAGAATTAATAAAAAAAAAAGGGAATAATAAAATATGTGGTCTTATTTGCAAGTCAAACTAAATCCCCATTTTTTTTTCCTGTCTGAAAATTACGATACTACCCTGTGGTTCTTCGACCAGGGCGGCCCCCGCCTCTTCTTTTGCCCCTCTTCCTCTTGCCTTTCGGGGTAGCAATCTTTGCAATAGAACGCATTTTCGGAGGTGATTCATCTTTTACGGGCAGCTCAGCTTCTGCCCGAACTGGAGTGGGGGCAGTATTAATCACCAACGGCCTTTCGATCGGGTGAATCATGACATCATCGGAATTATTCGTCTCTTCCTTAACCCTCCGATTATCAATAAGTATCCCATCTTCCACCTGCGCAATCTTTTTTTTATTTTATTATATTAATTAAAATGGAAATACCTAATATTAAAAAAAATGATTAAACGACAAAATAATATTAAATAAAAAAAATTACGTACTCCGCGAGTTGTAACTTTACTTTCGGGCACGGTTATATACTCCGATAAAAGCTGAGATGCAAAATAATTTCCCACTCCAGTTGCATCCCCGCTGTATCCGGATGAGGTGCTATACGCCATAGCGAAACTCAAGTCGTCGGAGGAAGAAAATTTTCCGGCATTTTCACGCATTATTTTCTCTGCTGTGCTCTTCAGATTGACGACTTTGGACTGTAAAAACTCGATTTTCGAAAGTACGTGCTCCAATGAATTTTCACCTTCTCGGGGCTCGAACGATTGTAGTAGCTCGTCATTGACCCAAAAGTCGTCATCAAAGTTGACTGTTTGTGTAGCTTTTCACATAATATTAAATTAGAAAAATAAAATAAAAAAATCGGTCGTATAAAAGTACAGTTCGAGACGAGAAATATATGAAGTACAGGTTGAATGACGAAACAAAATGTTTAATATCGCCTCCGCTTCCAGATAAGTGTCGTTTAAGGTCCGACTATATTTATTTTTTTCAAAAAAATTTGAATTGAAATTAAAAAAAAATTCAAATCACCCCATCTTTGTAATAGGTAAAAATGCTTCCTTTCCTCATATGAAGTTGTCGGAATTATTCGCAATAAAACATTGGCTACAATTGAAAAGGTCGTCGTATCTATAAAATTTCCATTTATCCACGATATAGGCGTAAACGCGCGCAGATCAAGAAACCTAATAAATAGCCTCCTTTTTAGTTGAAAACCCCCAAATTGCCCTTTTACAAAACCTTGAAGAAACATAAATTAGTTGTACAAATTAATTAGCTTGAAAAATCAACGATAAAGGGCAAAATTGGTATAAAAATAATTGCTTTGAAATTCTAAAGCCAACACTTAATATAGGAGGAACAAAAATTAAGAAACTATTACAACATAATCAAATATTTCTCACCTGAATTGTTCAGATCATTTAGCACGGTGGGCCCATCAGTCGAAGACTTCTTATTCTCTGCAAAAACGGAAAAAAACCCGAACATTTATCAAAGTCTTGAACTACGAACACAGTTAACGAAAAACGACATGTAATAGCAATTAATACAGAAAATGTTTTCTACCATAATACGAGAAAATGTTGTGACGCGACATATATGCAGCTACATCAACTGTCGCTTCGTTTCTTTTTCTTTTCTTCCTCTTGAGGAACTCGTCTCGAGCACTAATGCGCGGAGAAAACGGAAGCGATTTCGCACTGTCTGTCGGTTGAGAGTTCTCTAACCGAATTTGCTTCCCGTTATTGTACGCTTCGAGTTCTTTCTCGTATTTTTTGCCTTGTGCCTTCAACTTGTTGATTTGCAATTCGATCCATTTACAACGCCACATCAGCGGCTGGATATACGATCTCCAGTGAGTTGTCAGCTTCTTCTTCCTATAGGAGCAAAAGTTACGTACATTTATAAGCATGCATACGACAAAAAAACAAGAGCAAAGAAAAGATAAAAGAAAAACCTCATCCTAATATTTTCGCCGAATCCATCAAAACCGATTTCCGATGCATGAAAATCCGACGAAACTTCAGTGTCGGAACTATCAAGGCCACAATCACTGCCACCGAACGAACTCGAGCTCTCAGTTGTATCCTTGCATTCTGCTAAAACGGGCTCGTTGACCAAAGGCTTTGTACATTCCGAAATGTTGACCTCCACATCAGCACTATCCCTCTGCACTTCCTCAACCAATTGTGAATTTACTTTATTGCCCTCGGAGGGTTTTTGTGTGTATTTCATAAGCTCATCTTCAAGCTCTTTAGCAAAACGATCGGGCTTATATGTCGAAGCATCCATCTTAGGTTTTAATCTGCTGTCTCGAACATTTACCTCAACACCCATAGGGGCAGTACAGTTAAATCATCTCGTTTTTTAGCATAGAAATGAAATCAAGAAAATACAAAGAACCCTGCAGTAAAAGATGGAGTCGAGTGTAAAGCTCACAATTGTTTAAATTGCACACGATAAAAAATCCAAAAGTCTCGTTAACGTAAAGAATAACAAAAAGGTTGAGCAAAACGAAATTCCATTCGAACATCAGCCCTACTTAATTAACCGAAATAAAATATTAACTACAGACGATTAAATCATTATTCCGAGGGCTTAAAAATAGATTCTTTCAACATAGAAACCTATGTAAACACGAAGACGGCATGCTAATGTAACGCCACGTGACGCAAAAGTATAAACTATTCGAGCATATAAGATTCTAAAAAAAAATTGCAGCCACGTGTAATAAAAAACAATTCAATCCGCATTTGCGCGAGTTGATCTCGGGTTTTCGTGTAATAAAAAAATCCGACAAAGATGGATAAATTGCATTTTTTATGACCCACTATTAATTTCAGCCGCAAACCCTCAGCTCCGGTTTTCGATTTACATTTAATTCTTCAATGAGGATCAAACCAAACCTTTTCTGGCTTTCACTACATTTATACACTCAAATCAAATCAATGCCCACACACACACACACACACACACACACACACACACACACACACACACATATACAGGTTATATATATATAGATGATGCTAACAAAACAAAATTGATAAATCAAAATTAAAATTCAACCGGGTCCCAATTCCCAAAATTAACAATAACGGCAACCAAAAAAGGGGGCAAATGAAAAAACCCCCAATCTCGATTTGCAGCTCCATCACATACCCATTTCAAAAAAATCAGAATTAGCTATACGATAATCAAAACCCAGCAAATAAAATAAGAAATTAAAGTGGGTTTATGAAATAAAAATCAAAATCAAAAGCCCTTTTAATAAATTTTAAAAAGCAGTAATGAAGATCGAGAAAAAAATACCCCTTTGTTGAATTCTACGTTGCCACCACCACCACCGCACCGGAGCACGTAGACGGCTGGTCGGCGTATAAGGATGTTTTTTTAATTCCGGCGAAAATGATTTGGGTTTGTTTGTCGTACGAGGATTCTTCTCTTGTAGTGAGTGAATGGCGATATATAATATGATGACACTAGTGTTCTTCAATAGCTGAGTTGTCAAATCGGTCAACCGCTCTCCCCATTATTAATTAATTATACATTCCTTTTTGCCTTTTTTTTTTTTTTTATTTTTTATTTCTATCTATTAATTTATTTGTTTTTTCATTTTTTTGGTGTTGGTATTACTTTTTATTTTATTTTTTTTGCGAAAGTAGATTCTTTTTTTCTTTAAGGAAATACAATTGATTCTTTCATATATATATATATATATATATATATTATTTCTCCTATTTTAAATTATCTATCGTTTAAGGTTTCAGCACAAATATTAAAAAAACTATGAATTAGGAGTATGAGGGCAAAATTGAGAATAAAAGGTAGAATGTGTACTTTTTGAAACTGTAAAAGGACAGATAAAATAAAGAAGAAAAATAATGCATAAAGCGACAGTTAATTTGAAATAGATGAAATGTATTGGTCGACGTTTAGATCAAGGGTTTAAATGAAGCGAGTCAAATTTTAACTTTATTTAAAAAAAAAAACAACAACAACTTCGAACTCGAATTCGAATTCGATATGTCAAATTTAGTTATCATCAATTTGTGAGTCAACTAGTGAACTTTCTTTTATTATCCATGTACATGTGTAACACGTATTTTGATAACATGTATATACATATATATAGTTAAAAATATATAAATTTAAATTTTGTGAGTCGTAAAATTTCTCGGCACTCAACTATCGGCTCTTGACCCTTGTTTCGATTAGAAAAATATCAAAAAAAAAAAATCGATTCCACTAAAAACCTTTAGCACATAGCCTCCGAGAGTAAGGAATTGAAATATTTTAGTAGTTTATAAGATGTTTGTAATTTAATTTATTTTTCTAACGAAAATAAGATGTTCGTAATTTACCTTATTTATTTCTATGATATTGATTACCAAAGCAAAAGAAAAAAAAAACAAATCTATGATATTACTAATTACCCCATGCTAAAGTATATCCACCCAAAAGTCAAACCTGCAATTAAAGAAAGACACGTGTTAATCATGATTTATCACGTGCCTCCAAAACTCGTGGGTTTTCACTTTTTACTGAGTGTCGGTAGTTATTATTTTCTTCTTCTTTAAGTAGTAAATGACAATTATCACCCTAATAAATTACCCTCAAACAAAAATAAAATAAAATAAAACAAAATAAATAAATAAACATTATTTCAGTTGACTGTTAGCTGAAGCACACAATCCACACACAGTAGCGTGTGCAGAAAGAAGAAGAAGAAGAACAGAGAGAGAGAGAGAGAGAGAGAGAGAGAGAGAGAGAGAGAGAGAGAGAGAGAGAGATGTCATATTTGAAACATTTGCTGATAATTTCCGCGGCAATTTCGTTAGCTGCGTTGTTTCTCTTTCCGACAACCGCCAATTCCATTCCGTTTGTCGTATTTCATGGTAATTTCTTGTCGATTAACCCCTTTTTTCAAATACGTCGTCGTTTGTTGATTGTTTTTACTCTGCTATATATGTTGGCTTCCATTGATTTTGTTTTTAGGTTATGTTTATTCTTGGAGCAAATAAATAATTAAAATATTCATCTTAAATTGATAATTATTAGGCAGAACTCTGTTCTTTTCGACAATTTAATAATGCTCGTTCGTCGTATGTTTACGCAACCGATTTCATCGTTTAACTGTAACTAGTTCAGCTAGCACCAGAGTGTTGCCCTTTCGTTTTCGGAAACTCGCATTTTACGTTACGTTACGACAATCGATAATGTAAGTGTATGTGATAGTGGATTTATTCGTTCGTATATCTTTCGATCGTTCGTATTTTGTAATAAGCCCCTTTGTTGGTATTAGTTGCCATTTTTTTTGTAATTTTTATTTTGTTTTCGTTTTCGAAACAATTGTTTTGCAGGAATATCGGACAGTTGTCGCAACAGAGGAGTGACGCATTTCATCACTGTTCTAAGTAATTGGTCTGGTTCGGAGGGATATTGCATGTATGTTGTCTATCGTTTCCTTTTTCTTTTTTCAATTGTGTCGTAATTAAGTCCGCAGTAAATGAATGGTAAATCTTAGGGTTGTAAATTGGACGGATCGGATCAGAATTATTCGGAAGTGAAAAACTAGTTCTAATTCCGTTCAGAAAAAATCGGACAAAAATCGGAATTTCAGAAATTGGAACGAAAAAACTTGTTCCAAAATCGAAAAATTTCGGATCGGAATCGGCAAAAGTCGGAATTTCCCAATTTTTGCTCACCTTAAATATAAAATACATAATAATATTGGTATTTTAATTGTAATATTCAGAATTTTTTTTTTGGAAATGTTGGAATTACTTTCGGAACTTTAATCTGTTCGGAAATCGGAATCTCATATATATATATATATATATATATATTCCAATTCCGACCCAAATAATTTTGGGAAAATCGGAATTTCGGAATCAGATTGAAATTTTGTTCCAAAATCAGAAACCAGAAACTTTCGGATCAGAATCGGCGGAAATCGGAAATTTCGTTCCAATTCTCACCCTTAGTACTAAGTCCGCATCTTAACCTATTTTTCCGTTGAGTTCGTTGAGGTTTTATATATTAGAATTTCGCAAAAACGGGTTGCATAAATTTTGCTAGTTGATCATAACTTGGAACCGAAAAAAAAAAAATTGCTCCAATTAAACTGTCCGTTTGTCTGATCATCACTTAACCTGTCTGCTTTTTTTTCCTTGAATTTTATGTAGCGAAATTGGAAATGGTGTATGGGATTCTTGGACAATGCCGTTTATGCAGCAGGTTTCATCGGTTCTTCACGAAATTTCCCGTCAATTATGCATCTTTACGAACATAAATATATATTTTTAACATATTTTAATGTTTTTTTTTCCGGTATAGACAGCGATTGCTTGTGAGAAGGTATTGTAGCTTCGTCCGAAGATCCCACTTTATCGATTTAGCGTAGAAATACTTTCTCAGACGAAAACTCTTCGTAACTTACAGGTGAAGCAAATGAGTGAACTCAGTGACGGTTACAACATTATCGGGCTCTCACAGGTGAATACTATATATATATATATATATACCATTTCTAATTTTGTAATTATTTCATATTATTTAAGTTAATATATTTAATAATATCTCAATTTTAAAATGTCGTATTCTTCAGGGTAATTTGGTTGGCCGAGGAGTCGTTGAACTCTGCGACGGAGGACCCCCTGTAAGTTCTGATCCGATCGAGCAATCGAATTTTGTAGCTTGATTTCTTGACCATCTGACTCGTTTTTCGTTTAATATATAAAAAAAAATGGAAGATATATAGATCTTAAAACGAGACTTAAATGTGCAAATTACGACTCATACGAGTTTTTCTTCGATATATATATTACGTTTAAACGAATAGGTTAGAAATCTTATATCACTGGCTGGTCCACATGCTGGAATAGCAGCTGTTCCGTTATGCGGAGTAAGTTTTCCTATAATTATTTTGTTTTTTTTTTCAATTTATTTTTTTTCGTTTCAAATTTATTTATATTTTTTTTGTCACACACAGAACAAATGGTTTAATTTTATTCACTTTTTTGTTTTTTCTTTCAGTCGGGTTTGGTTTGCATTCTAGTCGACTTTCTGATCGAGTTGGCAATTTACGGCAACTATGTTCAGGTTTGTACAAATTCAGACAATACGAAATTATACGGTCTCTGCAGTTCCATCCAATACAGTTCTCGTACAATTACATGGACTATTGTTGTTGCAGGAACATTTAGCACCTGCTTCTTACATCAAAATTCCAACAGTGAGCAATTTTTCTTCTTATTCCATCATATCGTTTTATATTTTTCCGTCGATATTTTCGTCACTAATAAAATCCAAATCCCTCGTTTATTATTTTGTATGAACTATTCTCTTTGGCCAGGACTTAGACCAATACAAAAAAGGCTGCAAGTTCCTCCCAAAAATTAACAACGAAATCCATAAGAATTCGACTTACAAGAAACGGTTTTCTAGCTTGGACAACTTAGTACTTATTATGGTACATTTATTCATTTTTTTATTCATACATATATATATAATTTATTTATTTTTTTGTAAAATCTAAAAGCTTCTATTTATTGACTGTTTTTTCAGTTTGAAAATGATGTGATTCTCGTGCCGAAGGAAACTTCTTGGTTCGGGTATTTTCCAGATGGTTCGTGGGAAACGATTTTGCCTGCTAACGAGGTATATCTCAAAATATATTTCTCGTCATCATAAATTATCTTACGAATATTTTTTTTTTTTAAATCGGTTCTTGTGTGCTGGAATTCTGAAGAAAATCGAGGGTCATCCACCGAATGTATGGTAGTGTATAAAGTAAATTTAAGAAAAATGTTGGTAATTAGAAAGTAAGGTATTGCATTGAGTAATATATGGTCTTACAAATAGTACAATTTTTTTTTTCCCCCTATAATAAACTAAGTTAACAACTATAGTTACTAACTAAATTTATGAATCTTTCAGACAACCTTATACACCGAAGATTGGATAGGTCTGAAAGCATTAGATGAAGCTGGAAAAGTAAAGTACGTAAACGTATCGGGCGGTCATCTTGATATTTCGTACGACGAAATGGAAAAATACGTACTCCCGTATTTGGTGGAGAATACGACCGCTCTACGGTTATCAGATTTTGAGCATGAAGGGAAAACCCTCATCAAGCTGTACGATTCCCATTAAAGAGAATAACTCTTAATTTTTTTTTTTCGTTTAATACACGAGTAAAGATTAAGAAACACACGATAAATAAAGATTTTGTGTACCACTTTACGTTGAATTATTTTTGTCGGTTTTCGTGGCTCCAACCTTGTAGAATGGTTAGTGAGTTAGAAAAAAGTTCTTGTGATATAAATTATAATCCCCATTTGGGTTTGGATTTTTGGATGGTTATTTTCATGTGATCGTAATGTACGGTAATGTTAAGTGTTTAAATTTCGGGTAAAAACTAATTTTCAACAACTATGCGATTTGTCAAGAACAAGAAATTGAACCGTCGGAATATGGTACGCATCGGCTCTGAACTGCAGTACGAGTGTGTCGAAACTTTTCCTCCTCTTTCTTCTTTCTTGGTCTTTCGGTCTTTTCTCGTCGTCGATTTTTCTCACGGAATTTCGGAATGTTGTGACTTACAATGATTTCAAATATAAAGTTGTTGATACCCGAAAACGCTCATAGGAACATGTTTTTGGAAAAATACAAACCCCTATTTTAGAAGGATAAAATTGAAAAAATAAAATAAAATTGGGTTAGATGGAATTTGGTTAATTCTCCATGGACTAACTAATTAGTCAATAAGATTTTCGGTTTTATGAATTAGATCTTATTAAATATGTTGAATTACAGTATTATATATGATTTGTTTATGTCATTTCTTACTTAACAAAATTAAGAAATTGTTTTAACGATAAAATTATCTTTTAATTGGGTGCAATACGAATCATTCCTTATCTCGGGGGTGCAATATGAATCATTCATTATCTTGAGGGAGCAAAGTGTTATTATGTTTTTCGAAGGTGCAAAATACTAAAATGCTACATTTTGAGGATGCAGAGTGGAATTAAGCCCAAAATTAATTTATGCTACTAATTTTTATTTTCTTTCACTTCAATCTTTCTATTTACTTGCAAACTTGATTCGTAATTTGTTCAGTTTGGCGATTTAGGGTTTTCCAATAAATGGGCAACCATTTTCGATTTTCTTACTCCTCTACGGTGATTCGTTGCCGAACCGAGATCGTCTTCCGGCGAGAATTCACCGGTAAGTTCCCTATTTGTGTTTCTCGATGCTTTGATTTTTGGAAATTCATGCAAATTTATGAAATTGTTTTTCATTAAATCATGAGCTTTATCTCAAGTATGTTAATTTATGATGTTCTTACACGCTTGGTTTATGCCTGATTATGCTGTTAATTTATGGTGTTCGAGTTCGACTAATTATGGAGCTTAGAAGAAAACCCTAGGGTTATTTCTCCTGTAAAAAAATGCACTATTTGTACGCACCTCATTCTTGTTTGTAGATGTGAATTATTCTTTTTTATATATTTTCCGATATTATTACGGAGTTCTTTACATTGCCTGAAAGTTGAGAACATATAACTTCGAAACGAAAATCAAGAGAATAAAACATAATATGAGTGTACTTTTTGATCGACTTATTTTACTTTCTTCGATTTTGCGTTAAGACGTAGGATGAGTATGTAAATGTTGAAAATTATTGGAACATTAGAAAATAGAATGATTTAATAGTTAATCGCAGGAACTGTTTGAATTTTCTACGACACAAATTATGTATAAACTATTGGCTTCCCTGATTTGAGACCCGGTTGTTGTAACTTTTGTATCAAAAATATATTGCAGGGTATGAGAAGTCGGAACCGACTAGTCATTTCAAGGGAGGTAATATTATATTCTTTGCATTATCTCGAGAGAAAGATAATAGATGAAGAAGTTGTTGACTCACTTTAAACAATACTTGAGCTAAATTGAACTATATACAAGTTTTAATCATAATTTTGTTGCCATTAATTAGCTTAGTTTAGATTATTTTTTGGACTCGCTGTGTTTGAGACTATTGCTACAAGCCCAGCGAAATTACTGATAAAAATTTTAGCCTTTAATTTTTCATTTTTATTTAAAATAGGCCTTCTTAATGAGATAGCTTGTTATTGGCAGGTATAAATTCCCGGACTGGACAGAAAATGAGATGATGATCAATGGCAGAGAGAAATAAACTCGAGTTCGAAATGCGTCAAATGGGCTTTTTTGAACCGACTTTCCAGACACTGGGGCTTAGGCCCATCACATACAAAAAAATGCATTAAATGCAGCTCTGGTAAACACCGATGCATCACAATTTATAACTTTAATATTCATTTTAGTCTGTTCCATTCTTTTGTCCTGGATTTTATGCCATTTTATGAATTAAAGAGACTAATATGGTAGGTGAATTCGGAGAAATAGGTTAAACCAGTCAACTGAAAGGATTTATTATATTAAATTTAATTACGTTTATGCTTAGTGGAAATCTATTGACTCCCTTTGATTGAATCCGTAAATTGAAGCAAGGACATTATAATTGATAAAAGATTTACTAAAATTTCAAATAAAGACTTGCCTAAATGGAAAAGAAAAGAATTTGGCAGCTCCGTATTTACCAACCTCTCTGATTTTGCTGGCTATTTTCATATCATTTCTTTTGGCCCTATTACCACAAAAGGCGAAAAAGAAAGATTTACCTACCAAATATATTTATTCTCTATACAAAAGTGTACACGTTAAACATCTCAGTGTAATGACTTTCTTACGCAACCTTCCGTGTAAGAATACCATGCTGTTTCACAACGGTATAATTAGTAGTAATTAGGTATGTACTTATTTACTGTCCAATTGCCGAGCGAAATATGGCATGAATCTAATATGGAGTTTTTTAAAAGAAATTCTCATTAAATCTTATCGGAATTTATAATTCATTTCAGAAATCAAGTCGAGTCTATCTCAAAATAAGGCATTTAAATCTTATTAGTCGGGTGCGAACAAACTCATTATTATATGTATATCCAAATGGTTGAAATCATAATTGCATTGCCCCCTCCTTTCACTATATATACCACCACCTTTCACAAACCAAGAACTCAACAAGTATCGGTACTCATCTTCAACTTTCTCCTATTATTAATTTCATTTTTTCCCATTTTTGTTATTTTTCTCTATGGTGATAAACATCTCTGCATCCCTTAATCAAGAAATTGATTTTTTGTATTCTTTTTAAATTGGATTTCAATCTTTTCTACTGTTGTTAATTGGTTTTTGTTGGTTCCATGTGGTTTATAACAATTCAGCAATGGAGGGGCCATCTCTTGTTTGTTACGAGCAAAATAAGGATACAAGGTTCTTCGTTTGCCGCCATTGCAAAACCCACCTCTCGTTGTATTCAGAAATGCTTTACAGGGTACTCTTTCTGCATATGTTTCTGTGTGTGATCAATTAAATGGGAAACAATTTGGTAATGGATTGGAAAGTTCGCCCCTTTCGTTTTCCTTACTTTATATTGTCAGTCTAATTGTAATTTTTTTTTTCTGATCAAAATTTCAGTATCCCACCAGCCACGTTGCAATCTTCGGTTCTATGTAAGTTTTCCATCTCTTCTCCTACATTTCATGGTTAAAAAAAAGGAGATAAAAAAGAAAAATAAATTTGTTAGTATCTGAACATTCAGAACAAATTAGTTCAATTCAGAATCCTGAAAAATGATTTTTTTTTTTTCTTTCCAGAGTTAAGTCTCTCGCTACGTCGTCGTTTTTTAATTCATTATATACTTACAATCCCATATATCTGCTGAAAATTTAATCGTATCGACCATACAAGACATGATTGTATTGAGTTTTAGCGGTGTAGTTCTTATTTTAGAGGCTTCCTTACTTATTAAATTTATATATATATATATATATATATATATATATATATATATATATATATTCAGGGTTAATGTGGATTTGCTCAGCGATAAACATCCAATTGAACCTGGTGAAACTTCAGCAGCAGCTTTCTGCATTAACTGTGAATCACAAGTAGGATACAAATTTGTAAGACAAAATTCTTACCACCTTAAATGTTTGTTGATTTTTTTTTTCTTTCCCCTGTATTCTAAACATTTACGTAATAAATGGTCGTGAATTCCTTTCATTTTTTCAGATTGCTCTGAGGCTTGAGACTTATGCTCTCAAAACTGGAAGATTCATGGTAGACACGTAGGCCCTCTTCCACCTTTTTGTTTCCTCTATTGCAAAAAGAATAAAAAATATATAAATTGAAATAGTTTTTTTCTGTCGATTTAAATGTTTATTAAGTAAATATATTTGTTTCCTGTATTTGGCAGTTCGGAGCTGCTCTTCTGGAACGGGAACCATATGGTTTATGCGGATAGCGGAGTACCCGTTCAAAATGCATGAAGTGACTGCCATCCCAGATGATGAAGAAGAAGGCATTTTCTTTCGGTTTAAGATTATTATAATAAGTCTTCTTAATAATGTTTTTTTTTTTATACATAAACATCCCCAGCCATCCATAAAATTCCCCAGACATTTCTTCCCGTGTTACATCAATATCCTTCCGATGTGATTTTTCATTAAATCTTTTTTTATTACAGCGAATGTTCCTCAAAAATGTCAATTCTATCCTTGCATTATGCTACTTTTGAAAGAATAAAAAATCACCAAAAATACACCGTAAGGGTATCAGCGTAAGACGGAAACAAATATTGGGGAAATTTCAGTATTTACGAATTGATATGGTGGGGGGGGGGGGGGGGGGGGGGGGTGGTTGTTCCAAAATTTACCCCAATTTCAGGGGGTTTCCCAAAATACCCCAAAAAGGGTAAAAAATACCGAAAGAAAAATTTTTGGAAAAAAAACCAATACCCGAAAAAACCCCATACCCTATTTATGGGGGGCAAAAAAAGGGCCCAGGAACTCTTTTTATAAAAAAAAATTTCCACCCCAAAAAATTTTTATTTTATTTTTAGGGCCCCCAAGGGGTTTTTTTTAACCAAACCTTTTTTGAAAAGGGTTTTTTAAAAAAAAAAAAAAAACTTTTTTCTCCACAAAATTTTTCAAAAAATCCCCAAAATCCCGGGAAAAAAAAAAAGG